GGTGTGTGTGTGTGTGTGTGTGTGTGTGTGTGTGTGTGTGTGTGTGTGTGTGTGTGTGTGTGTGTGTGTGTGTGTGTCAGGAATGGCAGGGATGTCAATCTTAATTCTTTTGTTTTTTTTTGGTCGCACCATGGCTTGCAGGATCTTAGTTCCCTGACCAGGGATTGAACCTGGGCCCTTGGCAGTGAAAGCTCAGAGTCCTAACCACTGAACAGCCAGGGAATTCCCCTTAATTCTTTCTTGAGAGGCTGATTTTGAGGTGTCCATGGGACATAAGAGTGGGGAAAGAGATCTTGTTGAAAGTTCAGATCCAGAGTTCAGGCTGGAGATAGATATTTGCAAACTACTGTATTATAGAAGTATAACTTGATTAATTGGAACTAATTTTAACGACCAAAAGAATCATGTGCACATTTGTGATTTTGCTCGTTTGTTTAGGTAAAACATTTAAAAACTGGGACATACTTTGTCGATTTTTTAAAAGCTCTATTTATTTCTATTACATGTTTTTGTGTTTTTCCCTAACTATTCAAAATTTAAGAGAACAGAAAATTTTTTACTGAGCTTATACCTGCTCTTTAGTAGTTTGAATATTGTTATTAAATGATTTATCTCATGTTTAAGAGTCCCAAGACTTACAGACTGTGACTCTGCCACTCCCAAGAGTCTCTGTTCTGCCTTCCCATGTCTGTCAGAATCATTTACTTGGAGATGTCCAGATGCTCTCTTATGCCTTTTTTTCTTTTGAGCCAGAAAACTGCATTTTGCCAAAATTAAGTGGGTCTTGCATTCCAAAAGGCTGTAACCAGCTTTTACTTCACATCACATGATCATCACATGGGTTACTGGCAGAAGCCCTTCCTTCTGCCTCGGCATTTCCTGCAGCAGAAGCTAGCAAGAACGTCTGGCTAGTGCTGCCAACTCAGTGACAGATACAAGCAGTGGTCAGTGGCATTCAGATCGGCTGGGTCAGGGTCAGTTGTTTTTCAGGTTTATTTGAACATGTTTTGTTTTGTTTCTTTTCAATTAAATTAAAAAGAAAACTTTCTAACTCCTCTTTGATCAGTTTGTTTATATGTATGAGGGTGGGAAGAAAGAGAAAGAAAGAAAAGAGTTACCAATGTTTTCATTCAACTTTTTTCCCCAAAGTTATGTTCTCCTGGTTTTATTTAACATTCTTCCTTAAATATTTTACACCTATTTGTGTTAAATTACATTACTAGAGTTTTATAATTTCATTTTTTAAAACAGAGGCACTTAGTAAGATGTTGTTTTTCATTATTATATTTTTTAAACCAGATTTATGCTGCTGATAAATGATAAATGTTCATAAAAGATACTTAAAATCAGGCCACATGGTAAGTTTCTGGATTCTGATATAGTGAATAGTATTTGGACCTTAGTTTTAGAAAGAGGAAGAGTAAAAAAAACTAGAGGAAAGTTCTGTGAACAAACAGTTTTGCTAATTTTGGCTAGTTTGGGGGAGATTTTAAATTTTATTTGGCTTAAGCAGTAGAATGAAGCTATAGGCTATAAGCTGTTTTCAGCATTTTACAGCAGTCCCTGGTCACATCTGGTCTCCTAATTGTCAGATGGGCCTTTGCACATGGGGGAACTGAGTACTCCATCATGGGTCATCTGAATGAAGGAAGCCGTACACACTTCTCATGCAGCAAGAGACGGGTTACTTAGAAAGCTCTGCTATCTTTCAAACTATTGACTAAATTTAAAACTTCTATAGTGTCTGAATAGATGCATGGGTATACTTATTCAGTAAATTCTGCTCAAATTTTGCATTTAATACATTTGATATACTTGTTTTGATTCTGTATATCTACCGTGATTTTGTTTCTTTCCTAGAGAGGTTAAAATTTTAAAAAAATCTTTTCGAAATGGATTTTTTAGGGTCTTACAATGAAATTTACTTATGTAAATTTCTTACTTCTCCTCTCAGACATTGTATTGAGAAAACGGGAAGGTCAAATGATGTTCCTAGCAGTATTAGTGAAACCTGGCATCTCCTGGAACCTGTCTTTCTCCTCCAAAAGATGACAAGCCTCTGTAGTTGGTGCCTTCAGTCTGGATGGAATTTTTTGTTTGTTTTGTTGATTTTTTTTTTTTTTAAGTACATTTTGGATGGAATTATTTGAAGTGAGAACTGTGGTTCAGGCTCTCTCATTTCCTTTCAGCAAAGCAGGCTTATACAAACACAGTCTCATCTCTGCAGCTGCTCTGAACCAGACCTTTGGGAGTGCAGAACTCCTGATCCTAAAATGTAAAAGCCCACATTGGAGTTGGGAGTAGTATCTTTTCAAACTGGGGTGAGACTGTGGGAGGGGATAGGAGTAAAATACCTTGAAGGGAAGATATGCATACATTTGGTATTATAAAGAAGAAAATATTTTTCTTTAGAAATGATAATATATATAGCTATCAAGCTAAATAAGTTAATGTTCCTCTTGGGAAACAGAGTAGTGGGCATCCAGGAGTGTGAGCTTGTGATAGGGGAGAGAGAAGGATTTGGGAGGCTGACAGGATCAGAACTGTATATTTTAATAATAAAAATATTATTAGGCACATAAACATACCACACACTAGGCAAGGCACTGCCTGTGTATAATCTCATTTAGCTTTCACAATAAAGGAGAGGTATTATTATATAAGAGAGGTTATGTAACTCGCCTGTGGTCACACAGCTGATGAGTGGCAGGAACAGAATTTGAACTCAGGTCTTTGACTCCAAAACCTCCACTTACTCTGAACCCCTGTGCTGTACTCTTTTGACATACTGGTCTCTAGAAATGGCAGCAGAGGCTAAGTAAGTGGGAGTCTTCAAAGGTTGTTCTTGTCACCATAGAACACCCACACTTATCAGCCTAACAGCTTTGTAGTGTGTTATGGGTGGGAGCCAGCTCCTTTTTGTATCCCAGAGTAACTTCCCTTGTTTAACTGGTTTTTATCCATAATGGTTTCAATCAGTGCATTTTAACAGCTCTCAAAAACAGTCAAATTGAGGTTTCTGTGACAGGGACAGAGGAATATGTGTGTAGCTTAAGCCATTCGGGAGTAGAGAGCCCCTGAGTGGTTTCTGGAAGCACCTTCAAAGACCTGAGTTTTTGCACTTGATTTGCATGTGGGATCTACAGCCTTCCCTCATTCTGTCATTGAAGGCTTTCAGATTAGTATGGAAGATTATTCTGGGCCAGGCTCATTCATTAGGTATGAGGTTAAGTATGTGACCTTAGATGCATCAGATCTGAATTCCAGTCTTGACTTGGCCACTTGCTGTGTGACCTTGGGCAAGTCACGTGATTGCCTGAGTTTCCTTGTTGGTTAAACAGAGGCCATAATAATACCCACCTCATAGGTTGTTATTAGAACTAATACCTATAAAGTATAAGATCAGTCCCTGGCACGAAGTGCTCACTGTTAACATAACCACCTTCTAAGCCTTAGAATAATAGTAGTTATGATAGCACTGTACCCTGGGACTGCTACTTGGGT